TAATCCCAAATACCCAAAGAGAATAACCTCACAAGATCACTCCAAAGAAAGGGTTCACACAAGTGTTTCCCAACACAAACTCTCCTACAAAATTACTCTTAATGGAAAGACAAAGAAAGAAAACAATGAAATATTTTCATATGCTTCAAGGTGTGTTTCAACTAATGTCTAAGCTCCCTATTTATAGAGAAAAAAATAGGCTTGTTGATGTCATGGATGATGTCTTTGAAAGATGCAAAATATTCAACATCTCAATGTGAATATATCAACTATGGTGGCTTCCAAATCTTAGACAAATATAGTTGCCAAATCTTGACAAATATGGCTACCAAATTTCCACATTAGTGGCTCCCAAATCCTTCACAAAATAAAGATAAAATAACTTTCTTTCATCAAACAAAAAAGGCACATTACAAATCTCCACCTTGGCTTGAGTTTGGTGAAAATAGTAAATTGCTCCATTTTCTCCGCAGAAGCCCATATGGGCTAAATTATTCTTCATAAATGCCAATCAAGTTCAAACAAAGCTTGAACTTGCTGACTGGAAGAGACTTCGTGAACATGTCGGCAGGGTTGTCTCTTGTGTTAATCTTCTTAACAGAGACCTTTCCTTCTGCAATGGTTTCCCGAATGAAGTGATACTTGATATCAATATGTTTCGTCCTCTCATGATACATCTGATCTTTAGTCAAGTGAATGGCACTTTGACTATCACAGAAAATGATAATACCACCTTGGTGTAAGCTAAGTTCAGCAAATAGACCCTTCAACCATAATGCTTCTTTGATCGCCTCGGTCATTGCCATATATTCTGCTTCGGTAGTAGATAATGCTACTACATGTTGTAATGTAGCTTTCCAGCTAATAGCACAACCATCAATGCAAAAAACATAACCTGTTAGTGATCTTCTTTTGTCAAGATCACCTGCATAATCAGAGTCTACAAAACCAACCAAAGTGTTAGGATTTCTCCCAAACTCCAAACATGTGTTTGAAGTGCCTCG